AAGTATTTCTCTATTTTAAATCAACTTTTGTCTTTACTAGTTCATTTTAAATGGTCTTTTAGCTTTTAACACTTTATTTTACAGTATCCTCGTTACGCTGTGACAAGAGCACCTTAAAATGTTACCTAAAATACAAATATTTTATAAACACTGAAAAAAAAAAAACTTTTTTTTTGTTGTTGTTGTAAATAAATATTATTAGAGTACATTTTACAAGAAAACACTATTTCAGCTTTTCTACAATTTCACATTTATTTCAATATGTTACTTGCAATTTCTTTGAAATTATGAAATTTCCTAGCAGTTTCTGAGTAAAAATTGTTTCTACACCATTTTTTTTCCCCTTCAGTGTAGCTTCTTAATGGGGTAATAAAAACTGCATGCATAATAATTATAGAAGAATTTGGGGCTTATAGAAGAATTTGAAAGCTGCAATTTCAAATTTAATTATGTATTTCTTATAGCTATAGAATGATACTGTACAATTATTCGTTGAAAGAAAATGATTCATTTTTTTTATTATTTTCGTTAAGTCTAAGACAGCACTACACATCAAGCATTAGCATTGCAGTGTATATCTGCTGCGAGGGAACAACCTTGATGTTTTTCACAGGAGCTTGACCTCAACCGGAAAGTGATCACTCACTGCCAGGGCCTGTGAAAGAGACATGAATGCTTCAGACAGAGGAATACACTCAGCAATAACTCAACTCTCCAGAGAGCTTCTTAGGTCTAATGTTTAGAAAACTGAATCCCAATGAGGCAAACCCTATCCTTACCCAACTCTGGCTCAATCCTTGGGCTTCTATGAAGTCAAAGACCTGCGCTGATCCAGCGGACACTCCTTTCATCATGTCAGAGGTGACTACAGTCCTTTTATCAAGCATATTATGGGTCATTACATAATATCTTATCCAGCAAAATAACTTGTGATGTCTTCCTACCTGTCATATGGGCAGTTTGTGTGTGTGACCGTTGTGTCCGCACTATCAGGGATGAGCCAGGTGTAACTTTGGTCAGTACGGAGGCGTATTTTTGACCAGTCTGAATTCGAAACGTAGCTACAACCAGCATTGAAGTCTCCCAAAAGCAAGATGTTCTGAAAAAATTTGAATTGACATAAATCACCCAAATCATACTGTATATTAGCATAGTGATGTTCAGAACAATGTAAATTAAATTGAAATGTCTGTCATGTTAACAGGACTAGTTCATACAGTTCATACAGTACGCTATGCACCAGTATAGTTACATTTGTGTTCAGACGTTGTCTAGCATTCAAGACGACATCATGCAGAGCATCAATTTCCCGCACAGCGACTTCTGGGGATGTATGCTGGGGAATGAGGGCAAATTCCCGGACAGCTATAGAAAATATATTTGTTTGTGCTCAGTATTTTGAGCAAAAATAAGAATCCGCTCAATAAGATTGTTGTTTAGTGTCACTGTGAGCTGTAAATTACTTTTAATAATTGAAATTCAATCCCTGATAAATCCTTGATAAATGGTCATCTAAATACAGGCATTGTATTTATATTGCATTATAAATACAATGTACACAACTGTTCAAGTTTGGGGTCTATAGGACTTAAAAAATTTTTTTTTTGAAAGAAGTCTCTTATGCTCACCAAGGCTGCATTTATT